GTTGAGTTAGACTGTTGATTATATTTCCGTCACCTTCTGATTCGAAGGTCAGCTGCAGGACATTTTTACGATGAGATATTATTGGTGTGGGCACAAAGGCCGAACGCTACTGTTCGCGGCCGAATTATAAAACGAGAAAAAGCAAAATGAAGCCAGCCCAACTGACAGCGCCCCAGAGGTTAAATAATAAATCTATTCTATTCTATCAGACTTAGATGAAACATTTGCCGTGAACAAAATGGTCAAATGAAGGCTGAGATGAGCAGCATAATTAGGTTATCGGTGTTTTTCGACAACATAGTCGAAGACTGGTGGTGCATTCCCTTCCAAAATTATTGCCGCGTTTCATGGAAGGAACTGAACATCAGACCTTAGTGGTTGACTCAAGCGTTGAGATGAAACGTTGACAGATAACAAATGCTGTAGACGAAATCTCTCTCCGATGAAAGCCTTGTCAATAAATGCATACAGAGCACAGAGAAATCTATACAAGCGATTTATCCTCAGAACACAGGAAGCATTCGAAAAAGAAATACCGAATCGTGCCTTTGGTACCCAAAATTATTTTACTGTTGCAAAAAACGAAACACGCGCAACAGAGATCACATTCACCTACTGAAGATTACTAAAGGCCTAGAAATCGGCGAGGAATGAGAAACAGCAGAGTACCCTTCGCCATTTTTAAGGGTTATCTTTACGGGGGAACGCGAGTTTTCTTCTCTCGACTACGACTAAGTGGGAGACCCTAGAATCGAAACTGACTATTTTGACGAAAACTGTTCGTAAGGAGCTGATGACGCTAAAAGAATCGGATTCACCTGGTACGGAAGGCATGCCAACGAAATGTTTGAATAAGCTTACTTGGAAATAGCCAAACTACCCCCTATGCTTTTTGCGACTTCGTTCAGAGGCTCATGTCTACCCACCCACCGGAAGTCTGCGCGGATCATGCCGATACACAAAGACGGTAGCGGGGGGTCTGCAAACAATTGCAAACCATTCAGCCCCACATCGAGCTGCCACAAACTTATGATTTAATGTGCAGCTTAGAGTAGTATAATTTATTATCCGATGACCAGAATGGGCTCCTTCGAGACATTTCTTGCGTGGGAACCTTGATTTACTGTCTAGCACGTTGGACTTGCGCAGTTGATGGAGGGAGTGTGATGAATGCAGTCTATGTCGACTTTAAGAAAGCCTTCGCATTTTACTACCGTGCAAGTTTAACTGAGCATGTGTTAGGAATAATCTCCTGAGGTGGACGTTGTTTCCTAATCAGCCCCGTCAAGTTGTCCGCGTCAATGACTAACAGTCCACGGAGGCTACAGTTGAAATTGGCGTTCCCCGTGGCTCCATTCTGGGCTCTACTCTGTTTATTACCTACGTCAGCGACTACGTCTATGAACTGGATCTTGATTTCACGATGCTTGCTGGTCATACTAAACTTTTAATCGCCATCCGAGTTAACTTTGACGAAAATCATTCACAGGCGAACCTAAACCGAATTCAGCAATCGTCTAAAGACAGGCTTTTGCAGTTTAATGTTAGGAAGTGCAACATTCTGCGAATTGGCGGACTCCGAACTCAAAAGGGTGGGGGTTGACGTCTCAATGGCATGCCACGTCAAGAAGTAAGCGGAAAAACGGAGGTTATGACTCCACTGAAATCTTCGATGAACAGTTCAAACGTATCCGAGCGTGTAACGTCAAATTTATGCCTTTTCCCGGCGGATTTTCGTTAATTTGATGAAGATCGCCTCGCCATTGTCGTTCGAAAATTTATGCGATCGAAACGGGAGTATGCTATCCAAGCCTGGAGACATTGGGCCGTTAAGGACCATAAAATTCTCGAAGAAGGCCGAAGGTGTGCAACAAAACGTGAAAATGAGCACGGATCACTACCCCATGAAACACGATTATCCGATCGTGGTCTCTTTCCTGTGGACCACAGGCTGCTGTGAGGCCACCTAATATAAACATTCCGCATCATGAGAGGTCAGGGCTGTTGTAATATACTTTGTGAATATGTAGCAACCAAAGAAATGGAAAATAGTATATGAGAGATAACGAGAAACGTTGGGAAAAACTCCTGGTGCAAAACGAGCCGAATAGAGTTGCTGGACGCACCATAGCACTCGTCCGGAGGACAGGGTAGAAAAAAATTGGCGAGTTCAAATACATATATATACATATAAAAGAAGGCGAAGGCACGATCACTGGGACAGTAAGTTTATTTGCCTGAGCTTTCGAACTCGAACTAGAGTTCATCATCAGAGGTATGGGGTGCTCACCGATCGTTTATACGGAACTCACTCGTTCCGTTGTGCCTTAAGGGCCCTCTCTAGAGCCCAACCAGCAGCCGCACAGCGGCGCATGATATATAGCCAGAATGGTAATAAGCAGGAATGGCCATTCCAGTCTCCCTTGGCTTTGTCGGTAATACCATTCTGCCTATATATATGTATATGGTATAGGTAATATACCGTACTCCCGACACAGATACTTGCTAAAAGCCCAGACACGTGTTTCGCCGATATTCTGCCGCTGCGTGACACAGCTGCGAGGGGTTCGGCTCTTCAGTGGGACCCCCAGCGTTCTCTATGCGGTTTCTGGTATATGAACTCCAGGGAATAATCAAGCGAATAATTTAACTCACTTGTAAGACAGTCGTAACTCTGACCACCATCTGGGACTGGAAACACAAACATGCATTCACATACCTGGCGCAGCTGGTCCACCACTGGGGTCAATCAGATGGGTCACAAGCACTTCATCGAATCGAAGGTCATCAGTGCTTCGCCATCTGCCATTCTCTGTCGCTGCAGATCAGGAATGGGCGCACATCGATCCACTGGCATCCCGAAGCAAACAAGCTTCGTATGGATGATAGGGGTTACGGACAGGCAACCATTTAGCAGGCCGAATTCGGCCAAGTTTCAGAAAGCCAATGGATAGGTGTGCGCCCATTCCCGAGTAAATAAATACCCGGTCTGCAGCGACAGAGAATGGCAGGTGGCGAGGCACTGACGAACTTCGGTTCGATTAAGTGCTTATGACCCATCTGGTAGACCCCAGTGGTGGACCAGTTGCGCCAGGTGCGTCTGTGCGCATGCTTGTGTTTCCGGTCCCAGCTGGTGGTCAGAGTTACGACTGTCTTACAAGTGAGCAAGGAAATCGTGCGTGCTTAGACCCGATATGAGGGTTTTGAGTTTGAACACATTCGTAACATAGATAAGGAACGCCTGGTTGCTACGACAGAATTCTCCGGTGGCCTATGATACCGAATAATTATTCACTTAATAAAAAGAATTATACAAGTACTTGGACGTGGTTAGTAAAAATTAAAGTGTCGCATTGTGAATGCATTAACACGCAATATTTTGGTTCTTTATTTTTTCGGTCTAAAAAAATGTACGCTTACTGAAGTACCTAACTTGGCCGAAGACTCTTCTTCGAATATTGTGGAATTGTCCTCTCCTAAAATGAAGTAATATGGGAAAACGAAATACCGAAACAGTCAGGATGCTCTCATGAGCCATGATTCCCATGACCGTTAGCATTTTTACTATGTCTTCCTACAAAACCAGGATTGAAGTATTGGTTGGATCCTTTACGAGTTCCGAGTGTTGCGATCGACGTTATTTTTGAAATTTTTTACTTTTTTCTGTGAAATGACCCTGATATATAGGCCCCTGCGGCAAACGCTTAGCTCAGCTCCAGACGACATCCCGGCCGCCATTTTAAAGGCTCGTTTGAACAAAGCATTTCCGTTTCCTTAGTGTGAACCACGTAATCCTGCACTTGAAAATAGAATCCTCCCACTCTCTTGAAATGACCCACATGCCTCACATATTATAGCGCGTTCATCTAACTTCAGTTTGCAAACATTTTCTGACTGCTGTGGAGGTCCAGATCTGCTGTACAATCATGCACAATTTGACGGATAATAACTCAACAAACTAATTTCCGAGTGAATCTGAAAAAGTGGTGTGTGTCAACATCCTTTTTAGCGTGGTGGACTGCTGCCCAGGAACGAGGGTTGTGTCTTTGTAATATTTGCTAAGGCCACAATAAACCACCTCGTCAATTAGTAAATTCTCGATTATTCTGAAGCCTTCGTGTTTTGAAATAGGCGTATGATTCTAAGCTGCACTGCCTCTAGCCTCACTTTTGGTACAGAGCGAGATAGTTTATCTTGTGTCATATCCACTAACACATGTGCAGCATGTGGAACCCTTAAAAATATCGACCTCGTTTCACTTTTTTTCGCCGACGACTAAAAAATGGCCACAACTGTAAACTCTTAGATAGTGGCATTGCGTTTAGGCGTTTTAGATAAGATCTTTAGACTTTTTTCAGTGATGTTGCGTTTGACGCCATTCTTTTATACATAAATTCCCGCTTCTGGTCGTGAGCATCAACCATCTAGCACAGTTTAGCTTTGGTTGTCAAAGCATAACTCCATCAGTGATATATTTAACTTTGAGTCTTTCTTACTCGGAACATTGTGCTTAGATTGTCTGCAAAAACTAAAAGGCCTAGATTTATTTCCCTGTATTTCAAAACAAAGACAGTTAGCACAGTCGGCACAAAGTGCTCATTAGATTAACACCGCAAAGGGATTTAATAGACTAGATCTCCAAACGCCTCCCAAGGATAGAGAGCACACTCCTACATTGTCTTAACTTGGTTAATACACATTTTGCAAATATACAGACCTTGATCAGCTGTGTCCTTCTCGATTGGGGTGTAAGGGTGTCGGCGGTGGGTTCACGTGAAGGTCGTAGTGGTCGCTCACTTGCTTGCAGGTGAGACTACGCCAAGCGTCCACTTGCTGGCATTCAACTCTCACCTGTGGCTCCACGTAGCTGGGCTCTGCTCAGCGGCCACACCCCGGGCAACCGTCTCGACCGGCGGGCTAAACCAGGTGAGGGCGGTTACTCCCTGTGCGCGTTGTGCCGCGTGCACAGGTGACTGCGGACTCCGTGGACGGTTGGTCGAATGGAAAACCGCGTCGGCGCCGTCGTGACGAGGCTCTGTCTGACACACCGCTGGTCAGCCGGTAGGTGGTGGAACGTCGCATCGGCATCGTCTAGACGAGGCTCCGCCTGGTACGCCGTTGATCAGCCGGTGGGATGGATCTCCGAATTGGCACCGTCGACACGCGCCCATCTGGTGCACCGTAGGAGACCGCAGGCTTGCGGCAATGCCGTAAGCCATTGGCAAATTCGAGTCGTTCTTCCACTGCCAAAAAAACTCGTGGCCCACAATGGAGTTCGGCCGCGCCGGCACATCAAGCAGCCCCTATTCAGGGGTCAGGGCACTGCTTCCTTCGGGGGGGCCTGGAAAAGCTGGCCTAAAAATTGCTGGGGAACCACGTCGTCTGCTGGCGCACCGTGTTCGCAGACGCAAAACTCACGGTCGAAACAATCAAACTCGAAACAACAACAACAACAACAACCATACTCATTCTCCTCATCCTACCTCTTCTACCTCTACCTCTGTCTATTCTTCTGCCTATTCTTCTCCTTCGTCATCTTCTTCTCCACCTCCTTCCCATCGCCCCACTCGTTTTCCCCAGACTGACAGGGTGAGCCCGCTCACTCTGGCAGCCTGGAATGTTCGTTCCCTTTTAGACAATCCGAGGAGCAACCGACCGGAACGGAGGACGGCGCTAGTGGCACGAGAACTGGCGCGCTACAAGGTGGACATCGCCGCACTCAGCGGGACCCGATTCTCCGAACAAGGCCAACTGGAGGAGGTGGGTGCCGGCTACACCTTCTTCTGGAGTGGTCGACCCAGGGCAGAGCGACGAGACGCGGGCGTCGCCTTCGCCATCCGGACCGACTTCGTGGGACGACTGCCCTGTTTGCCGCAGGGCATCAACGATCGCCTGATGAGCCTCCGCCTGCCTCTCTGGGGAGGCAAATTCGCCACCATCATCAGCGCCTACGCTCCGACGATGACCAACCCCGACGCCGTCAGAGACAACTTCTACGAGGACCTGCACGCCCTCTTGGCGACTGTGTCGAAGGCGGACAAGTTGATTGTCCTTGGTGACTTCAACGCCCGCGTCGGCACAGACCATACTGCCTGGAGGGGAGTGCTGGGTCCCCACGGTCTCCGCGGCTCCAACGACAACGGCCTGCTTCTCCTCCGCACCTGCGCAGAACACCGCCTCACCCTGACGAATACCTTCTTCTGTCTGCCGGTGCGAGAGAAGGCCACCTGGAGGCATCCTCGGTCGCGTCAGTGGCACCTGCTGGACTATGTCCTCGTCCGGAGGCGAGATCAGCGGGACGTGCCGGTGACGAAGGCGATCGCGGGTGCTGATGGGTGGACCGACCATCGCCTCGTCATCTCGAAGATGCGTATTCGCCTACAGCCTCGCAGGAGACCACAAGGTAAGCGACCCCCAGGTAAGCTGTATGTTGCCTTGTTGTCTTTGCCCGCTCACCACCTTCATTTCAGCAATGAGCTAGCTCAACGGCTAGACCACCTCCCAATCGATGCCGCAGACGACGCCGCCGCTGCCGAGACCGCCTCCGTGGAGAACCACTGGTGTTAACTGCGTGACACAGTACAGTCGACGGCGCTCGCCGTCCTCGGTCGCGCTCCCCGCCAACACCAGGACTGGTTCGACGACAACGACGCCGCCATCAGATATCCGCTTGCTGAGAAAAATCCCCTACACCAAGCCTACGTGGATCACTCCACCGATGCCACCAAAGCTGCCTTCTACGGTAGTCGCCGCCAACTTCAGCAACGACTGCGCGAGATGAAGGACGCCTGAACTGCTCGCAAAGCTGAGGAGATCCAAGGCTACGCCGACCGCAACGAATGGAAGAACTTCTTCTCCGCAATCAAAGCTGTCTACGGTCCGCCGGCGAAGGGCACTGCTCCTCTCCTCAGCGCCGACGGCAGCACTCCCCTGACTGAGAAGACGCAAATCCTGCAGCGATGGGCCGAGCACTTCCGAGGCGTCCTCAACCGCCCTTCCGTCATCTCCGACGCCGCCATCGCCCGCTTGCCGCAAGTGGCGACCAACGCGGACCTCGACCTCCCACCATCTCTCCAGGAAACCATCAGGGCCGTGCAGCAGCTCTCCAGCGGGAAAGCACCCGGATCGGACGCAATCCCTACTGAGGTCTACAAGCACGGAGGTCCCCTACTGATGGATCACCTGACTGCGCTCTTCCAGGAGATGTGGCGTCAAGGTGAAGTCCCGCAAGATTTCAAGGACGCAACAATCTTGCACCTATACAAACGCAAAGGGAATCGTCAAGTCTGCGACAACCACCGCGGCATCTCCCTACTGAACATCGCCGGGAAGATCTTCGCTCGCATCCTGCTCAACCGCCTCAACAACCATCTGGAACAGGGCCTTCTGCCGGAAAGCCAATGCGGCTTCCGTCGTCATCGTGGGACCACGGATATGATCTTCGCAGCCCGCCAACTTCAGAAGAAGTGCCAGGAGATGCGGACACACCTGTACTCTACCTTCATGGACCTGACGAAAGCCTTCGACACGGTGAATCGTGAAGAACTGTGGAAGATCATGCAGAAATTCGGCTGTCCGGAGCGATTCACTCAGATGGTGCGTCAGCTGCACGACGGTATGATGGCGCGAGTCACGGACAACGGAGCTGTCTCAGAGGCATTCGCAGTGACCAACGGAGTGAAGCAGGGCTGTGTGCTGGCGCCTACCCTCTTCAGTCTCATGTTCTCTGCCATGCTGATGGACGCCTACCGCGACGAACGCCCTGGAATCCGCATCGTCTATAGAACGGACGGTCATCTGCTGAATCACCGGCGCATGAACTTCCAATCGCGTGTATCCGCGGCCACCGTGCACGAACTCCTCTTCGCCGACGACTGCGCCCTAAACACCACCTCGGAAGAGCAGATGCAACGGAGCATGGACCTATTCTCCGCCGCCTGCGAGAACTTTGGGCTGGTTATCAACACGCAGAAGACGGTGGTGATGCATCAGCCGCCTCCCAACTCAGCCACAGCCCCCAACGCGCCGCAAATCAGCGTGAATGGGACTCAACTGCAAGTGGTAGAGAACTTCCCGTACCTGGGCAGCACGCTCTCCCGCAACACCAAGATCGACGACGAAGTCGCCAACAGGATCTCGAAAGCCAGTCAAGCCTTCGGTCGCCTCCAAAGCACAGTTTGGAATCGTCATGGTCTCCAACTGAGCACAAAGCTGAAGATGTACAAGGTCGTCATCCTGCCGACGCTACTGTACGGAGCGGAGACCTGGACGGTGTACACGAGGCAGGCACGTCGACGTAACCACTTCCACCTCAGCTGTCTCCGCCGCATCCTGAGGCTGAACTGGCAGGACCGCATCCCCGACACCGAAGTGCTGGAACGGACGGGAATTCTGAGCATCTACTCCATGCTGAGGCAAATGCAGCTGCGCTGGAGCGGCCATCTGGTGCGCATGGACGACGAGCGACTACCCAAACGACTCTTCTACGGAGACGTCGCGACGGGTTCTCGTCGTTAAGGAGGCCAAATTCGCCGTTACAAAGATACTCTGAAGTCCTCCCTGAAGCGCCTGCACATCAACCCGACCAACTGGGAAGAGCTCGCCCGCGATCGTCCGACATGGAGGAGAACAGTGAAGACGGGCGCTGCTATCTACGA